ACTTCCAACTATCTTTACATTCTACTTCAACTACAGCCCAAGCAAGTGGGTAGATTTGATTGTTCGCGTCCCTACCTACTGCGCTTAATAGTTCTCCTTTGCAATGGGTTTTCAAAAAACATCCATCTAGTCCAATGAACTTTCTACAGCCTGCCAACCATCCATCTTTTACACCTTTCAAACAAACATAAAACCTCTTAAAATAGTTCTTCTCATCCGGCCCTACCTCTACACTCATTTTGACGGTTGAYCCTGGGTTRCTCCTCATGATTTCTTCTCCATAGTCCCACAATTTTCCATAATGATCAACTAGGTACTCTTCCAATCCTCCCAAAGYTTTTGCTTTGGCCCTACTACATTGACTTATCTGAACTGTGCACTTGTATTTTCTAAGAATTGATTCTTTTAATTCAACTAACTTTATAGAAGGATTYCGTCTTATCTTCTTACCATATACCTTTGCGATCCAATTAGAATTGACGAGTGAACCTAAATTGTAACTTCTTCCACATCTATGATCATCGTGTAATGACTTCACTTGAAATGATCTTTCCTTCGACATCCAACTAGCCCACAACCTCCATGGACAACCATTTTCTGATCCTGATTTTGGTCCGCATACAACAAGTAACTTGTCCTTGCAATTTTTTTTGTACCTAAATTTATGGATATGTGTCAAGTAACACAAATTAAATAATGTATATATACAAAATAAGATATAAATAACGTACCTAAGTTGAAGTCCATTTGCAAGAGCATAGTTAGTCAAGCATGTCTTTAGTTCAGAAACAGAAGCATATCTTTCACCCAAGTAAGGTTTCATAACGTTCCAAGGGACATTGGGATTATGTATAGGAAACTCATTTGACTTTGTTCGGAGAACTTCATTTTCCAAATCAACTTCTTCTTCCATGAATGCATGTCTATCATACCCCTCGCATGTCTCGGTCAAAAAATCGTCATGTTGATAAGTTTGTGTATGTACATCCTCCACCACTTCCACCCTATCTTCTACACCCATTGGACCAATTTTATTTCCATCTTCAAAATCTTCTATAATTTTGTTCTTTTGCTTACTATTAAAATCCATCATATTTGATCGAACTTCCCTAATTTCATCATCCCCGTCCGATAGATGATCTAAACTAGCGACATCATCTTCATCGGCATCGGAAAACTCATTATTGAACCAGTCTTCATTTAAATCTATTGCACCAAGGTCATCATCACTACTAAAAGCCCCTTCCTCATGTTCTCTGCCATGAAAACAGAAGTGTCCTAATAAAAATGTAGTTTACCAGTAGCACTATGGTGTTGGACATTGCCTAGAGGATACAACTATTTTAGATTGAATTCAAATACATGAATCCAATCCAATCCTATTTTAGGAGTGGTGTTCCTAATTTTTGTGTTATTGCTCTAGCACTAAATTAATGACATGGTGTATGTTTTAACGTTTTAATCATGCATAATTGACATATTCCTTCATGTAAATGCTTGCATTTTGATGAATGCTTAGAACTATCAATCGGTCCTTAATATTGTGGTGAAGTTAAATCAATATGTAATCGTTTCACCATCCCTTTTCAGCACTCTAAGTCAAGATATCATGATAATATCATGATTTATGATTACCAAGTTGAGTTGAATCTATAGATTAATTTGTGGTTGTATTAGTACTATTTATTTAATCTTCTGGTGATCTTGCTTATCTGTCATGCGAAGCCACAAAGTTCTTTCACAATGTAGAAAAGCAATTTCAGGTTCTTGGTTTTGGAAAGACTAGTATTRCTTCTAGCAATGACCTTTATGAGGAAACAATTAATGCTTCAAAAAAATAGGTTAGTTATTATGAAGCCACAAATCAAAAAATTGCTTCAACAGGTTTTCTTTTTGTGGTTCCATGTGCTCAAATTGGCAGATAATCAAGTAATCAAATACTCAAATAACCCAATAGTCAAATACTCAAATAGGCAAATAACCCAATATTCTAATAAGTAATCTACTAACGTTATTAGCCTAATCTGTAATTAATTCATTAGAAAAGAAAATACTTGGCCAAAGAAAGGAATTAAGGCATATTATGAGAGGCCGAAAGGTTGAGGGGTAGAACCGTAGAGAAGAGCAAGGTGACTATAATCGATGCTTTATTTGAGTTTAGAACTAACCTGATACTCATTGCATATAGCAGATTCAAACCCTAAAAACACAAAAGGGGAAATTTTAGAAAAGCTCTAAAACCACAAAAAATGGAGTTGATGAAGAAGAGATACAACGATTTTACATACCTAAGACCAGATAACATCGATGTAGGAGATTGGTGACGACGATTGAGGGAAGATTTGCAAGAAGAGTTCGTCGATTGAGATTGAGGAAGCCGATTGTTAGAGTTGAAGAAGTCGATTGAGATTTAGGGCGTCGATTGAGATTTAGGGCGCTGATTGAAAATTTGAAACCCCTGTATTGGGAAATTTAGTTTAAAAAAAAAATAATGTGTTTAATATTTTCCATGTCATTTGATTACATGTCAATTTTTATTCCACATCATTTGTTTAAAATACATGTCATTCTTAGTTTACCGGTTACCTGAAGTATAGGTAACCCAGGTACTTAAAAGTTTGAGATTTCACATCTTAGGTATCAAAATAAAGGTTTTGAAAGTATGTTACCCAAAATAGGAATAAAACTAAAGTACATTACATTTTTATGCAATTTGCCCTTATTTGTATCAGGATTCTGATACTTCAAACGCCATTGGCTCGAAGTCCTACAATACGCTGATGGGAGAACTTGTTGCTCTGGAAACTCAAAATATGGCAAGTGTTTTAAAGAAGAATCCCGAAGAAGGTTGTGTTGCCTTTGTTGCTTCAACAACAGCAAGCTTAGAAGTCCTGTCTCCATCCCTTTCTAGAGGTTCTCCCCACCCCATATCTGATGAGCAAATAGAAAGAGAAAGAGACCTCGAAGAGGAAGGAGAGCTGTTGAGAGCCTTGAAGCTATCAGAGACCGTCGGTCCAACTTCAGCAAGTGATGTGAATGTTACTGGTACAGCTGAGGAAACCCTATCTGAAAATTTAAAAGGTGAATACCTCAAGCATGAACCTGCTCTTCTTGGGGATGCATTACAAGTGCATACTAATGCCAAGGTTCATGAGCCCTCCACAGCTGAAAGTAGCAATCTGGTAAACAATTACAATGATGATTTGATAACTTTTGAAACAATTCCTGGGCAAGAGGTATGTTCATCCTTGGAAGCCGACAAGGAAAGCCATAATAGACAAATGAATACTAATGTATCAGAGAGGCATGAAAGTAATGACGGAATTGAGAAAACTGTCATTGAAGTATCAGCAAAAAAAGAAAATGTCTCACTTGGTTTTTCCGAATCAGATCCTTCACCTCCTGTTGACATACCAAAGGATAATTCAGGTGGAAATGAAAAGACACTTGACCAATCAACTATGAATGCTGATGCAAATGAAGTTGAAAAAGTCAATATTGATGAAAAGACTTCAAATGAATTATACTCAGCTGTACCTGATGCGGTTTTAGAATCATCAAAGGGCATGACACAAACTATTAATGAATCCAATTCTGTAACTTCAACCGCTGATGGGAATGAACCCATTTACAGAGAGGAATGCATATTGGAAACGAGCACTAAAACAAATGAAGGTCGAGAGCCTATATATGTAGGTGAGGTCGTCATGTCAGAACAAGTGGACAAGGATGATACCAGTGCTGATGATACAAGGCCCAAAGATGGAACTACTGCAAGACAAGGTAATGAATTAATTGAAATAATGTAGAATTAAAATGTTTTGAGTTTTGCTAATTTCTCTTTGCAAGCAATGGCTTAAAGTGGCTGCTATTTTGAACTAGGGGAACTGATTACAAATTTTTTGAAGAACAGTGCCAGTCAGTTGACCATACATGGGTATGTTTCGCTTTATTTGTTGCATTCAAATTTATTGTGTTCATTAAAACAAGATGATTATTTCCCTTGCTTACTAGGAGGGTCTTCTTTTCTTTGGCTGTTGCAATGCTTGCAGCCTATTTTCCTTGCAAGATGGTCTAAGAGAACGTGAACTTTGTGTGTTTTTCCGAAATAACCACTTCAATACAATGTTCAAGGTTGGTTCATTTTTGCATTTCGTATCTTATCCAGCTACTTACTTTTATAGACTATTTTCAAAATCTTATTTATATGCTATCTGACCTCAAATCTTTTTGCAGTTTGAAGGTGAACTATACATTTTAGCTACGGATCAAGGTTACATAAATCAACCTGATTTGGTATGGGAAAAGCTAAATGAGGTAATTAGTCTCTCAATATTCTTCTTTGTTATGGTAGTTTGAAAAACCCTAGCTGTGTGAAAATCTCATATCTGTTTGTAAGAACTGGAATCGAGATTGATACTCTTGATTTAATCGAGCATCAAGACTGTTACTAGAAACTTTTGAGCATCTGGAAAAAGTTGGATGACACTTTTTAGACATGCCTCAAATGGGGTGTAATATTATCTGCATGAATCATGCATTTGAAGTTAACTATTTACCGTTTAGATAAAATCATCTCATCTTTGATGAATAGAAGTTAACTATATACCATTTAGACATTCTATGCATTTATTATTGATCTTATATGGGGTATTATATAATGTGGTTTCAGGTCAATGGTGATTCAGTGTTTATGACCAATAACTTCAAGAAATTCACGGTAGAAAATCATGACACACGCTCATGGAATGAGCAGAATGTGATGGCTAATACTGTTGTATGTTGCTTCTCTTAGCTATATTATACCAAATGAAGTACGTATTTTGTTCATTGGTTACTATGAATTTCACTTCCGTTTTTGTTTTTCAGGATTATCTTGCCAGAATTGACAATACAGCACAAGGGGACACAAGTTTCAAGTAATTATCTGCCTTTGTCATGTCATATTATTCTAACTTAAAACATAGCCATAAGCCGTATAAAAAAACAAAAGTCAATGTTTTCTCTTTTGCTTTTAAATTGTTCTTATTTTTATATTAAAATATAATGTACTTGATTTCCCTTTATGGTTGGTTGATTTTGGTGACCTGATTGATCTGATCCAGTAAAATAATCAGATTTCTAGGATCCTCGGCAACCCCCCCCCCCCCCCCCCCCCCTTCAACCTATTTTCCAGGAGATTTTGTGTTTAAACTGCAAAAAATTATTCGAGAAGCAAATTCAGGTAGTATGGTGCTTGCTTGCATGAAAGGAAACTAACAAATTGTGTTGGTGTTGGATGACAGTTCTGATTTGCAATTGGCTATAGCCCTTCAGCAACAAGAATTCGAGCAGCAGCAGCAGCAGCCACAACGCGTTTTGCCGCAGTCTCCTACCACTGCACCTTCAGGGCTTGTTGTGGGTCCCCAGGTATGCTATCAATTTTCTTCACTTGTGGTTGAATAAATGTGAGGTAAGTGTAAGACACACACACACAATATATATAGAGGGAGAGAGGGGGGGGGGTTCAAATAGAATCCCTCTAGATTATACAATCAATGCAACCCACCTATCCACCATCCATTTTCTTTTCTATTTTCTTTTTTGGTTTTCTTTAATTAAGGGTAGTTACAACTGATTAAATGATAACCGTTGATGATTAAATGAACGCTCTTGATTTGGTTGCAAGGGTTGTAGAAATGCAAAGGGTTGCATAATAACCCGCCTCACTCTCTCTCTCTCTCTCTCTCTCTCTATATATATATATATATATATATATATAGAGGATCAGGTTCAGGGGAAAACCGCAAAAAAATGAAAAACCGAGGAACACCCGGGTAACCGTTCATCTAGACGGTATGCACATGTGCATGCAAGTGATTTGTAAGCAATTTGTCCGGTATGCACATGTGCATAAGATGCAGACGTGCATTAAAACCAATAAATGACTTTAATTACTTGTATGCTCATGTGCATACCGTCCAAATGAATGTTTAATAGGGTGTTCTTTAGTTTTTCATTTTTTGGGGGATTTCCCCTGAACCTCCCCCCCCCCCCCCCTCTCTCTCTCTCTATATATATATATATGCAGTTGCATGGTTTGAAAACCTGGGTGAAATAAAAACCAACATCAAGCCATTAAGGGTTTTAGACACAGATTGTTAACCATATCGTGGTGTTATTATTTATCATGCAATATATATCTGGTTAATCGGCTTTTAGATTGTTAAGAGGGGATAAGAATGCATTGAGCTAAGAAATTCATAGAGGTATTTAGATATATACCAAAATAAGCTATCTTAGTATATGTGGATCACAATTGCCAAGGATCGCCTATCCTACGGACATACAAACAACGTGCTTAGAAATATGATGAAAAACGGAACAAGAAACAAAAAGTGAACGGGGATGAGAGGGATTGATGAGAAAACTACCGAGGAGGCATTCAACAAAAATAAGCTTAGAAGATTTAGGGTATAAACAAGAAAAGGAAATGAGTATGTAAAAAGTATAAAATATAAATTATAAACCTTAATTACAACAAAAAGTGAGTCGTGGTGTGGATACAAGTTTGCAACCCATACGCACTTTGGGTTCATAGTTGACAGACTCATTGATTGGCTCAATAGCGAGGGGAATTGGAGAAAAGTTACCTACACTCTGGCTCGATTCAGGTGGAGGTATTGGTTGATTTGGAAGGGGCTCGGATAGGGATGCACAAAAAAACCCAAGCCCGGACCTAGAAAGCATGAGCCCAGGCCCAGGCCCAGGCACGAGCTTAGAGTCCAATCAGGCCTAACTTTTTCCAAGGCTCGGATAAAGCCTGGCCCAGAAAGCCCGATCGCATCCTCTTTGAACCCGAAGCCCGGCCTGGCCTGGGCCTTGCTTACTGAAAAACGGCTTAAAAGGGCCCAACCAATGCCTGAAGAAGTCCGGCCCTTGTGCATCTCTAGGCTTGGTATAGTTCCCTTTTTGCTTCGAGTAAAACCCAGAATTCAACGTGTTTGGAGCCACACTGGAAGTAGTATCAATTCTCTAGGAGTAGAAATATTATTATTAGTAAATCCATCATTAGAGTTCAGGTGTGTGTACATATCACCCTCAGACCCCCCCTTCCAAAACCGTTGGGTGGGATATATTGGGTTTGGTTTTACTTTCATAGTCAAGGAGCCTAAGGGTGCATTTGATATCTAGACATGGTAGGACAGGACAAAACTGTTAGCATTTAGTAAGACAATGAATAACATAAAATACAATAAATAAAATTTAAAAAATGAATAAAATGTATAGATAATTTGGTTTTATTTTGATGTTATATTGGTAAAATATAGTCATGTTCCACTTTGTTCCACATAAAAGTCCTGTCAGTGTATCAAACGCACCCTAAGCACATACATGGACGGGTTTCTTTGATGTTAACGACGTCAATTGTGAATGGTATAGAAAGCTGAAAACGTTGGTTTTGATTGACATTTTTGGCAGCACGTGCGTCCTGCAAGGCCAAGGAACGCGACTTCATCGATAAGGCAGGAGCCGAAGCCTACAAAGGAGAAATGCATTGTGATGTGAAAAAGCTTGCAGGTTTGGACTATTTGCTGTAAGTAAATAATGAATGAATGAATGGATGGTAGGAGTATTTGGTATATGGAACATATGGCTGATTATGCACAGAATGTTGTAAACATATTTGACATTAGAGAAATCGCTGCTTATATACAAGTTACCATCCATTTTTCAAACTGCCGATAACCACTTATCTCTCATTTAAATATGTAAAACAAGAATCCGGGTATATATATATCGTTTTTCATAGCCTTTGGAAGATAGAGATTAACCTCAAGAATTATCCCAATACGAAATTCGTGAACCCAAGGCTAATAGGGTCGAATTATTGTATTTGGAAAGTGTTTTCCAACACGATTCTTGGGTTTATCCAGTCCCTAATAAATTATATTCTTTTTCTTTTTTTTTTAGTTGTTAAGGGAAAGTTTGGTTAAATGCGTTAAATAGTAACTAGAAGAGTACTCATGCGATGCATCGAAACACATCTCGATTTCAATGTTTCATTTTATTCTTGATCTATGTCGATTTAATACAGTTTTATGTGTTTTTGAGAAATCGATAATATTTTTAATTTTAAATAAGATATAAATTTGAAAATATCATAAAAATTTGAAGAAAAAAATATATCAATATTAGCATCTAATTAACTATTTAAAATTTTTTGTTTTTTGTAATTTATTTAATTTAATTTTTTTATTATATTATAATTTCGGGCAGATGTTTT